CAATTTCATCATGAGCTGCATGATTGGCACACTCATTTGGATCTTCAAAATGACTTGGTTGAGCACGTGTGGGATCACATTGGCAACCAATAGATGTATTGGTTCATTTTATGTTCATTGAAGACAATTTTGATTTGGTTGTGAAACTATTTTATTAGAGACAATTTCGATTGGGTTGTAAAACTATTTTTATTTCAAACAATTAATATTTGGACATGCAAACTTGTTTTGATATGAAAATATGGGCATTTTTGGCCCTGGCGGACAAGATGGGGCAAACGGATGCGGCCGCGCGCTGGACGCACGACCATCGCACCCCAGGACAGGCCCGGACACAACTCCATTGCCCTGCCCAAACAGACAGAATCCGGGCAAAACGGGCGTTCATTTGGGGCGTGTTTGGTTGCCCACATCGAGCCCAACCAGGCCCACGCGAGAAGGGTGAGGCCCGTTTGGTTGCCTGGTTTTCCTGTTGGGCCTGCGTCACACGCTTCTCAAAGCAGCCCACAGCCTGGCTCGCTGGAAACCCTGGGATCGGCAGTTTCTCGCAAGCCAGGCTGAGTGCGGCGCGAGGTCGCACGGGCGGGAGTGAGGCGAGGGCGAGGAGGGATGGCGGGAGATGGAAATCTGGCGCGTCGTCCCGGCGCCAAATTAGCCTCACCCTCCTTTCACTCGCTCACCCATAGCCACTGCCTTCCTTTCTTCCCTACTGCATCACCATCGGCGGTGGCTGCGATTTCAGATCTGCGCTATAGGCGGCGGTGGCGACGGCGGCGAAAGAGGCGGCGGCGTTTGCGGCGGATCTGGTGCTCCCCTTGTTGTTGGCCATCATCTGGTCGACCTAATCTGTGCCATGGCTCCCCCTACGCCATCCTCGTCTCCGATGCCTGTAAGCAGCACCCCCTCCCTCCTTTGTTAGCTAAGTGGTTAGGCCGTTAAGCTAGGTGTAGGATCGATTTCCCACTGAACGAACCATCGATGTTGACTAGGTTATGGATGCACGGATGAGGCTGATAATCCAGGCAGCAGCACTGGTTAGTGTGATTCGGGCATGGGTCATGTTCATGCACCAGAGAGCTGTTCGTCGTGCTGGGAGACCTTTGATCTGCTATGGTCCATTGTTTCCCCGGGAACACGAGAGGATCCAAAATCTGAACTACATCTACAGCTGCAATGACGTCGAGGCTCTGTGGATGCTTAGAATGAAAAGAGCACCATTTGCCAGGCTTGTCGAGACCTTCGGGAGCAGGGGCCTGTTACGAGATAGCATCAACACCAGTGTCAAAGAGCAAGTGGCCATATTCCTCCATGTTGTTGGCCATAACCAGAGGTTCAGGGTCATTCACAACACGTTCAGAAGATCAATGGATACCATCTCTAGGTACTTCAAGCAAGTGCTTTTTGATGTTGGGGAGCTTAGAGGAGAGATGATCAGGAGACCATCTGGCCAGACTCCACCCAAGATTCACGGAAGCCCGAGATGGTATCCATACTTCAAGGTGAGCATTGACTACACTTTTCATGGCTTGATATGCTTGTATTGTTCAAGTTGAGCACTAACACATGCTAGTGATGCCATTTTCAGGATTGCATTGGGGCAATAGATGGTACTCATGTCACTGCCAGAGTTCCTAGGTCACAGTCTGCAGCATACAGGGGGAGGAAGCACTACACAAGCCAGAATGTGCTTGCTGCTATTGACTTTGATCTGAAATTCACATATGTGTTGGCTGGCTGGGAGGGGTCAGCGCATGATGCAAACATTCTCACTGGTAGCATGAGTCGACCTGATGGGCTCAACATCCCCGACGGCAAGTTCTACCTTGGAGATGCTGGCTATGCATGTCGGCCTGGTATTCTTCCACCCTTCAGGAAAACAAGGTATCATCTCAACGAGTTCTCTGGTAGGAACTTTCCTATGACTGCACGGGAGCTGTTTAATCTCAGACACTCCAGCCTTAGAGTAACTGTTGAGAGGGCATTTGGAGCTCTGAAGAATAGGTTTAAGATCCTGGATCAGAAGTCATTCCACCCATACTCCACTCAGGTTAAGCTAGTTCTTGTTCGTTGCATTCTGCATAACTGGATCCTCCAGTGGGGCTTTGATGAACACGTGCCTGAGGAGGAAGAGGTCGAGCCTGACGATGTTGTTAGCTCTGGCCATGGTGTGGAGGCATTTGACAATGACGCTTGGAAGAACAGAAGGTTGAAGTGGGCAGAGGCGATGTGGCTTAACAGAAGTCAGTGCAGGATTTGAAGAACAGGAGAAGGAAGCAGCAGCAGCAGAAGCAAAGAAGAAGAGGAAGAAGAAGCAGCAACAGCAGAAGCAGAAGAAGAGGAAGATGAAGCAACAACACCAAAGAACTATCCCCTATTTAGCCAATGGCTCTTAATAATTCGAACGTCATTTGATAGTAGTTAGGATGAACTGTAATTTGTTTAACTAGCTGGCACTATGTTCAGATTGTGTGTAGTAAGGTCACCACTAGTTAGAAGTGGTGACAACACCTTATGCAGGTTGCAACCAAACATCATGCCATATGTGCGCATAATGCAATGCGGGCAACAAAACGCCGGGTCAAAAATGGTTGTCTCGTGCAACTAGGGGCATGCAGGCAATCAAACTACGTGCGTCTGGGTTTTTTTGGCCTGCATCCCCTCAAACCGGCTCAATAGAGCTAGGCTGAATCGGGAATGTAACCAAACACACACTTGAGGTCGCGCAATGGAGTAGACCTCAAACCCAAAGTGATTTACGGCCGAGACTGTTCCCCATCTGGCGCGATGGCCGGCAGCAGCCAACGCCCGTCGGTGCTTCGAAGCCCGAGGCGAGGCCGGCCGTCCGTCGGCCGGCCACCCCGCGCAACGGCTACCAACCAAACGCGTCGGCAGCCGCAGGCAGCGGCCCCACGCGCGCGCCTGCCCATCCGGGCCCACCTGCCGCCAACGGTCCGATCACCCGCACGGCACGGCCGCCCGCACCCACCGCCCACCTGTCTCCTCTCTACCCTATGGAATCCATCATTTCAGTCCCGATTCTCCCGATTTTTACTGCTCCGCTCCCCCTCTTCCCCCTTCGGTCTGCCCAAATCGGGAGCGCTCCCCTCGCCCTCGCCTAGGGTTTCGCCCCTCGATCCCCGCGGCTCCGGCCGGCGCCGCCCATTCCTTCTCCACCGCCGCACCGCGTGCCGATTGCATTCTCCTCCTCGCGGTGAGGCTGCCACCGCGAGGGAGCGAGCGCGGGGGGAGATCGGCCGCTCCCTCCTTCCCCGCCGGCCCGAACTCGATCTCTTCCCCGGACCGGCGCTTGGGCGCGCGGGCAGGGGGAGGCCAGCGCTGTGGTCGCCGCCCTGCGCAGCATCGGCAGTAGTAGGTGAGCAGTCGGTTTCTTCCATTCGGGGTGAGATTGGGGGTCCCGGTTACTCTCAGATTCGTTCGTCACCCGCGCCGGTGTGCATTGGTCCCGCGATTAGCATTCCCCCCAATGCGGCCTCGTAGCGGAGGCATCCTTCCTGTGTGTAACGAGAGAGAGATTTGAGTGTCTAGTTCCTTTATAGGTAGGTAGAAAAGGGGCAGGTCTGTGATTTGTGCTTGTAATGTTCAGTTGGGACCCTGTTACCACACCGGTCCCTGGATAGACTGAACCTGCAGCAGTGAGCATGTGTGCCCTGTTATCACGCCGGCTACCCGATGGACTGAACCTGCACTGGGTGAGTGTGTGTGAGCATGTTTGCTCGTGTCTAGCGTGGGTGAGAGTACTTGCCAGATGCCTGTGAGTACGTTGCCGGGGCAAGGGGATACAAGTTGATATCTCCAGTATGAATTGCCATTTTAGTCCAGTTTACTATCAAGTTCGCAATAAATTAGCACACCGGCAAATGGCACATTGCCACGTTAGCAAATTGATAGAAACGCAGTAGCATGGGACAAGGAATGCACCCTAATTAATACCGAATCGCCAATTATATGGTCTGGTCTAACTGGTTTCTCACCCCGCAAACATTTATGTGTAACAATACCTTTATATTTAGACAAAACAAATTGACCCCTCGGGAGAGACAACCCAAATGCATAGCACTGTAAGGTCGGGAAAAAGGCCCGAACCAGCCTGCACCTGCCACTACGTCGCAAGTATACACAGTGAGTGTGGGGGCCTTTTTATTTGCGATTACCAGGGTTCGAGCCATGGCCGGTAGCCCCACTCCTGGAGTTCTTACCACTGTATTAGACAAAAGGTATATGACCAGCTTTATGTAGGAATACTTGTCGCTTGCAGGTGTTAATGGATGCACCATTAATTTGTAGGATCGTTCAATTACTAGTTGAGCACTCACGTTACATGTGAGTGTGCTCACACTTTGCACACAGTGAGGGTGGATAAATATATTATTTATAGTTGTGAATGTTCCTTCTGTTGTTTAAAGGTCAAAGTGTTAACAGTGCATAAATTAGTCTGCTGGGATGACTACTTTAGACTCGCAATAAATTGTTTTGTTCAAAATTCCAAATTTGCAATTCTAACTAATCGCAATATTTCATTGGATCCATTATTTGTACTGGCTTTCCAAAATACCTTAGCCGTGTGAGTAATTTTACAAAATTGTAATTTACTTATGCGTTACTCATACATCAGTATGGATTGGCATCACTAAGCTATCACTTAGCATATGAAGCGGTTATTCACTTATTTCATATTGAATGTAATACTTGTAAGATGTATGTACACCCCTTGCGCCGATAATTGTTGTATTAAAGTCGTTTACTAATGATGTTTTACAGTTTCTCCATAAATAACATATTACAAGTGTTGATTTCTTATGTTACAGATAAGTCTACTGAGTTGTTATATCATATTGGTTCAGTCATATCTAATCTCCTAAATTTTGTTGCCTTGTAGGATGACCACACTGTTTGCACAGGGCTGAATCTTTGGAACAAGAAAACTTCTAAGTGAAGCTGCACACAGAGAACCTTTAGAGTTGTCTGCTGTTATTGCTTCCATGGTGAGTGCCTGAAAGACTTAATTGAAATGCTTTCTGCTTTTCTGTTTCTAATGGTGTGTTTTTTCGAAGGCAACAAATGAGAACCTCCCACCAAATGTCATCAGGCAATTGGCTAAAGAACTGAAGAATCTTGATGAATCACCTCCGGAAGGGATTAAAGTTATTGTTAATGATGATGACTTCAGCACCATTTTTGCTGATATTGAGGGCCCTGGTATGATCCATTAAAGATGTATTCAGCTGCTATTTGTTTTGGCCGTCCACAATTGAGTTTACTTGCCTGTGCAGCTATGCTGACCATGCTATTATACAGGCACATAAATCTAATTGTTTTGGCCATCCACAATTGAATTTACGTGCCTGTGCAGCTATGCTGACCTTCCTCGTAATTTACGTGTGTTTTGGTTTTCAAAGACTTTTTTTAACATATTATTTATATTAGAGTTAAGCATTGATGAATCTTGTCCTTTCTGCCAGTGCATACTACAGAACCTCAAGTGTTTCAAGTTTCTCTTTCTCTCTCTCCTTATTGCACTACTTCAATCTCGTGTTCTAAAAATCAGTATCTGGGCGTGATGCAGCTGGTACTCCATATGAGAATGGAGTATTCCGGATGAAGCTATTGTTGTCCCGTGACTTCCCTCACTCTCCCCCGAAAGGTCTGGAATCTGTACTTCAGTTCTTTCTTTAAATAAAGCCTCTGACTGAAAATTTACAATCTTCTATACTTAGTTCTTTCTTTAAATGAAGCCTCTCACTGAAAATCTGCATTTTCCTTTGATTGATTTGCAGGATTCTTCTCGACAAAAATATTCCATCCAAACATAGCAACTAGTGGCGAGATATGTGTGAACACGTTGAAAAAGGACTGGAACCCTAGTCTTGGATTGAGACATGTTCTGCTGGTGAGCTAAAGCTGCCGCACAATTCGCCATTCTTCTGTTGAGAGCAATGCATGATCTCTTTGTAAGAGATTGCTGAATTTAGATTTAAAAGGACTCCATGATAGCTATGGCCTAGGAATAAAGGTCCGTCTGCTCTCATAACATGGGGGAGACTAACTATGAGCTCCTTTTGTCATGTGCCACAGGTAGTGAGATGCCTTCTGATCGAACCATTCCCCGAATCTGCCCTTAATGAACAAGCTGGAAAAATGTTGCTTGAAAACTACGAGGAGTATGCACGCCTCGCAAGGTCAGCCTTCGACTATGTATTTTTCAGTTCTAGTGCGATGCTGGCAGACCTTTACTTACAAAGCAATTCCGGAACATGATCATGAATCTCATGGCTACCATTTCTGTCAGATCAGATCGCAGGCGATAGTGAGGTTTCACCTAGAGCTCTAAACTAGGCAACTGATGATTTAATATTGCTCCATATGCAGGCTATACACCGGCATTCATGCACATAAACATAAGAACAAGTCCAAGAGCGGAGCCATTTGTGAGTCAACCACAGCTCTAAACGTTGGCCAGAGCAACAACACCGTTCCGAGCAAGAACATACCATCGGCGCCAGCACTAGTATCTGCATCCACCTCGACCAAAGTTCTCGGCATACAGGATCAGAACGCTGCTCCTTCTGATCCTTCTGTAGGACCATCAACGGCACACAAGAAGGACGGGCCGCTTGCCGTCAAAATCCCAGCCGAGAAGAAGAAGGTGGATGCCAGGAAGAAGAGCCTGAAGAGGCTGTGACAGCTCACCCTGCCCGATAGCGTCGAAGCGGGGCTGTTGTAGTAGCTAGGAGACTCAATCCCCTTGATAAGCGCCGCCGGATTCAGCAGATGCACAGCAGAACCGAATGAATAAAATAAACCCAAGAGACATCTGATGAATCTGGTGGTTGATTGGCAGAAGTATGCCTGTAGCCAGGCATTAGTGAGATGTATGTGAGTTGGTGTCCTGTTGGAATAAACTGTACTGATTTGCAACGACGAGATATCTGGAGGAACAAACGGTCGCCTTTTCCGCTGATTCTGCACTAAGTTTTGTCTTGTGATGTGGTACTGATATAGTACTGTTTATGGTGTGATGTGATTCCATGCTTGATGCTTGGACTGTTTAGTGACGCGGAAGCTCCTTGAAAGCGAGCTTATGTAGTGCTAAAGCGAAAAAGGGGATGATATTCATTCACCCTGAACCAATGAGCAGCTGGCACTAGCGATGGTGTAGGGTGTAGTAGCATCTGATGCAGTGTAACAAACAACAACCTGATAAAGGCCAGGCCTCCTCTCTGAGTGGGTGCACTCCCACAATGATTATCTTTCAGCTACCACGGAATCTTCCCCTTTGTGGATCATGTAGGGCTGCCTTCTAGACTGGAAACCATGATACTATATTCTAAAAAATGAAGGAAATTATCATCAAGTTTCATGGCAGGACTTGTGCCATCCGGTCCCCGACTCCAATCTTCAGCCAAACATTTTGTAAAATTCCGCCATTCACATCAAGCAGGTGAGGGTCAGCTCTCCCTCTTTTTAGTCTTTTCTCAAGCTCCAGCTCGTGTCAGGTATCTTTTCAAGATATGATTTGGGTTAAAATGGCGAACGTGTAGTATGATCGACCTTCCGGATGAGACGGGACGGGAGGAGGAGTCACCGCGAATCCCAACTTCCCGAGCTTTACGGGGGTGGAGGTGCGGGTGCCCATCATGACGATGACGATCCACCCAAACCCAAAGGTGTGAGTCGTGGCCCAAAGAGGATTCGGGGGGACTTTCGCAGGCAATTGCTGCCTGCGGCGAGCACCGGGCTTTTGATCCTCCCGTACGCCTTTCTTTGGTCCGGCCACCCCTTTTGATTTCTCCATGACTCTATCCACCCGCTTGCTTACTTTGACTGACTGACCGAGCGGGTAGTAAAAGTAAAAAGGGCCTGGGCCATTGGTGGTGCATCACGCAAGAAGGCAAGCAAGAGAGGTGAAAGTGGTGGCGTGGACGGCGGCCGCTGTCGGGCGTGGAGAATTCGGGGTTGGCCGGTGAAGAAGTCCGGTGACGTCTCCGCCTTTTGCCTAGGATCGCAAGCCTCGCGGACGCCACGGCGGGACGGCATCATCATCGTTGTCGTCGGCGGCCCAGTCAGCAGCGGCAATTATTCGTGCCATCGACTCATCTCTGACTTGTGCAGTGCAGTGCCTTGCAGATAAGATATAGGATATCTCGAGTGCACGAGTCCAAACGGGTTGTGTGTACCAACCGAGAAAGAACGAGAGAGAGAGAGAGAGAGGCGCACACACAATCTCACACGGACAAGAGAAATCTACTCCGGTACAGTATAATTGTGCTGTTGTAATTGCCGTGCAGGACTGGTTCTTTTGTCTGGAAGGTCTTGTTTTGCAGTGTTAATAATATAATCGATCTGACGTCTGAGGAAGGGTGGTGAGATTTGGCAAGCTTCGTCATTTTGGGCGTTAAACAATGGATGCAAGTAGGGGCCTTGCCGATCAATCAATTTATATTTAACCTAGGGGACAAGTGGCCGAGCACGTACAGTTTTCAGTCACATGCATGAGCTCAGACAGGCTTGATCCTCCTCTGCCTGCCTGTTGGGATCATCTACGCGGCGGCTATGCGCCCATGCCATGCCCGGATCCAACAACAACGGAGCCGATACATAATAAATCAGCTCTTTCCCCACGAATAAATATGCAAGACCTAAAAGTTCTGTACATACAATATACTACTATTTGTTGGCTGTGGGTGGTCGCGCGATCTGAAAAAAATGCTCTGGCTAGCTTATTGGTGCACAAAGCAACTACTAGCAAACACTGCTCTGCTGGTGTGCCACGAGCGAAGCAATACCATCTCCATGCTTGTAACCATCAAATTTTCTCGGACCTGCAGAATTCTTTTGAAAAGTATGGGTGAAATTCCTGCCTTCTAAATACATTAGAATCGAGACGCGGTACGTAAGCACTCCGATAGCTTCTAGTGTACCACAGTAGTTCAACGTGTACCACCTAGGGGAATCATGCATCAACAGTGCACTTGCACAGGCTTCCTCTTCATTATGGTACGTCAGTGGATGGTACCAACCAAAACTAATGACCAAACCTACGATCTGATGGACGGGACAAACGTACTGTATGTGCATGCACGTGAGAACTACTCTTCTTTATGAGCCGCCCGTTCAGACGCACCTAATGCACGCTGGATCAACCAACCAGCGCCCAATCACAGTGGAGTGACTTGATTAGTCAACCCTAGCGAGGGGGAGACAGGGATACGCGTGCTTGGCCGCTTGCTCGCTTGTGGAAAACTTCACTCTTGTGGAGTGAGCACTGAAGTTTTCAAGGTTCACACCGTGAATTGTGATGATGGCGACGGTGTGACATGTCCGTGTGCGCGTCATTGTATGTCCAGAATGCTTTGTTTAAGCCCGACACTTGGATGGGTGGATGCGCGTGATCGATGGGTAGTTTCCATGCCGTGCCCCTGGTTGACCCGAGATCATTCACACTTGGGTGGGAAGGTTAAATTCATGGGCCGTGACGCTGGTAGTTTCTCGTGGAAAATCATCCTCATGCGTCACCCACACGGAGAAAACTTCAACCAAATGTACCGCGTGACAATCACTTGCCATATGAATATGCTAGTGTTGAAGAAAAAATGCGCCGTGTCAATGTTAATCAATAGCAACATTGTCTTCGCTCGAGTAAGCTAAGTTGTTCGTGGTAATTCTGCGTGGAAGAAATATGTGTTCACACATATATCTCTAACCCGGCCGTCACCTACCATTTTCATGGCGGATGCGGTGCAACTTGAATATTTGCTGCATCCGCACAAAAAAGGAAAAATTGAAGTCGGCCCTTGATTCATCCCCAATCCTCAAAGCTACTAGCTCCGTCTGGGTTTATTGGTCCCTTTCGTATTTTGTGCTCAATTTTGACCATAGATTTGACTATTGAATTGTAAGTTGTATGTCATAAAACTTATATTGTTGGATTCATATTTGAAAGAGGTTTTCAATGATACTATTTTTAGAGTATATAACTTATATTTTAATAGTTAAATTAAAAGTTAAAGTTTGGCCCAGACTATAAGGAGGCTTAATAAACCAGGACGAAGGTGGTAAGAAATACTTATAATGTCCCAGAGTCAAGTAAACACACAGGTGCAGATACTTGAGTCTGGCAAATTGCAGTTCTCTAAACGAGAAACTAGAGTGGCATATGTACATGCAAAAGTCGGTCAACTCGTGTAATTCTAAATTTGAGTGACAGCCACGCATGCAAAAACTAAGGTCAGTCAACGAGCGATTCATAATTGGAGCAACAACTATGCACACACATCGCAAATGTGGTGCCTAGTTGCAAATGACCTGGTCAAGAGCAACACAAATGCACGAGCTAGATGACTGCATTTGCTAGTCAAAAGGCCTGCTATCGCCACAGATGCACCACTACAAACCAAGCAGTAGACAAGAACGCAAATGGATTCTCACGACGACGTCGTGTTCGCGTCAACTTCGGAAGCTCGAATGTAGTACTGGTAGTACAGTACGTAGTTACGAAGAAAAGCAGCAGGTGTTGGCCTCCCAGCCACGAACCGATCACGCGACTAAAAGTCTTACTGTAGCACATGTCGGTTAGGCATGACTTGACAGTTCCACCGAAGCTCCGTGCAAGACAAAGTCGTTCCATCATCTGCCAATGTCTTCCAGCGCTGCTCCACAAATAATGCTTCCAAGAGAGAAATGGCACCGCAGTACCGTCATAGGTCGATCTGGAAGACCGGATCCTAGGGTTTTCCCCGAAGCAGCACGAGTGGGTCGACAATAGTTACACGACGATGCCTTCATCAAGGTAACGCCGCAAAACGCCGCCATCCCCCGCCAACGGCTCGGTTATCACTGGGAACTATGTCTCCCCAACTCGCAGCCGGGACTAGATGACGGATCTTGAGATCCGACCACCCAGCCTCAAGGCGACCACCTCCGGCGAAGGAGGTGGCCACCACCGCCACGCCCAGGGCCAAAGCCCTTGACGTTGATGGAACAGGGATGGTACACGACAGCAGCCTGTGCGGCCCGCCGAAGCCCATCTGGAATCAGATTGGGCACCCAAGCCGCCGCCGCAGGACCTGTCGCCGCAGGCAGCCGCCTGTATGCCGAAACTAGCTGCCGCCGCCTCGCGCCACTGGCGTATGTACGGTCGGCGTGGACCGCCGCCTCCCTGACCTGATCTGGCCGAGAAGAAGCGCCGCCGTCACCGTTGCGGCGCACAGGTTTTGCCTACGAGCCCCTGAAGGCGGCGGCGGTAGGGGAGATGGCGTTGGAGAGGACCAGAGAAAGGGGGCAGGGGCGCTCTTGTGCGGCGGGGCGCCGCCGCACGGGAACGAGAGTGGGGGTAGGGTCAGGGGACGAGGAGAGACACTACTAGGAAAAGGGCTATAGATAGGATTGATTCTAATGGCGCACCGTGGAAGCAGTGCGCCACTACTATATACTAATGGCGCACCTGTTTGTGATACGCCATTAGTGTGGAAGACACTAATGGCGCACCGTAAACAGGATGCGCCACTAGTATGAATTATTTTTTTCCATTTTCCCATACATACTAATGGCGCATCGGGTCCATAATGCGCCATTACTATCTATAACTACTAATGGCGCACCAAGCAGGCAGTGCGCCATTACTGTAAATTTTGTTTTATTCTTTTTTTTGCAAAACTACTAATGGCGCATCGTGGCACAGTG